TACACCACATGCTGTATTATATACAGGCTAATAAATTACAGAACATTTAGCAAACACTGAGGAATCAAATAAATAAATAAAAGAGAGCCTCCATAGCATATCGTGAGGTAAACGGCAAAGATAACACAAATGAAAACAAAAAGAAAAGTAAAACTACACTTGCTGTCGGTGACAGTGCTTGCATGTTTTTTTTCCCCACAAGAATACCAACATGTTCACATTTGGTTTAAGAAGCGGTCTTTTACTTTACTTTAGCATGAAAACCATCCATCGTTTCCTCAATATTCGCGTCATTTTTGCTGCGCGCACCTTCGCACTCGTGTTGACGCAGCTAGTATAAACCAGGCTCTACACTCTAAGCGCTGTGCAGCTCAAATGAGTAGCGTGGTTTTGTTATGATTTCAGTTTCATTTGCCGTTTGATGGTTCACATATGCAACAGAAATGGCAGCGCTTATGAGTTAAACAACGTGGTGGTCACGCCAGTGCGACCGCACACAAAATTTAGTCGCACAGGCAGAAAAAATGGTCGCAAAATGCGACCATTTGGTCGCAGTCTGGAGCCCTGGGTTAGGGACTTTTAAGGGTCTACCAGTCACACCCATCTTTGGCAGATTGACCAATGTAGAGGTGTGAATTTTGAGCGGGAGAGGTTCCTTTGTCTCACGCAACACCTTATTTGCATGGTTTAAGGCGGTCTGGAGGATTTGTCCAATATTAAGTCAAAGTATGGTAAAAAGAGCATGGCACAAATTATGGTGACATAATATACACCATTAATCCAGCAATCGGAAGACGGTCATTTTGATACCTGGCATGCCAGGGATTGGGAAACATTAAGGCAGTGATACCTTCATATGTCTAGATCCAAGTAACTGGAGCTTCACTACAGTACTACAGAGTTATAACTAAGCTACTATAACCTAGGAACATGCATACAACACAGGAATACACTATATACATTTTGGAACAGTTTGATTGTGGATAAATGGAGCCAATGTCCTTTCATATGTGTATTGTGGCTTTTGAGTATGTCTGGGCCACGGTTAGTGGCTCCTCATGGGGATGGGGGAATCATTCCTCCCCCCCCTGAAATCTCAACGAGAAAGCCGACGATCATCCTTGCTAGCGTCGGTGAAGATAGCAGAGGTGTTAACGCTCTTTGAACCAGAAGTGGACATTAGACATGCATCTGTAATTTAGTTATAACAAGGGAGGAGGGAAAGTTTACAATGCCTAAAACCTGATTGAGCATTCTGATTGCATGCAAACGTTACAGATAAACAACCCGGACAGCACATATACATCTGGCCGACGTCGGCCTCCTTAAATATAACATCTAAGAAGTATCGGCCAGGCATAGGCGGATACCTTCAGTTTGTGCTCTATTTTCCCAGCCCATCAAAAGTGTCCGTTTTGTCGGCTCTGAGTCGGCCCACTACCAGAGGCTGATGCCGCACTTATCTGTTTGCTCGTACCCAGTTATTCAGCTCTTTGCAACCCGCCAGAGAGAAGGTGACATCTGTGGTTTTCAGGTAAGTTTTCGTTTGAAGTAAATTAGAAAAAAAATCTTATTTTATTAATTCTGTGACACTTAAAAGTTACTAGTAAGGCACTCTGTGGCAAGCACTGCATATCCTAATAAATATAACAGTCAGTTATTGCATTATAAGATTTAGTAGAATTCCTTTTAAAATAAATGTATTTTTTTATACTTATGTTCTTATTAGTGTTTTAACTTTATTCTCTCCTTTTTGTAAATTTATTAGTTTTATAATATTAACAATTATTAAACCATTTAAGTTGGATAACACTAGTCTGTGTACGTGCGTGCGTATGGCTTAAAGATTTGAAATAAAGTGCATGAATAGTATATATGAGCTACTTTTCTTTCTTTCTTTCCTCCTGGCACAAGCTGTATAATGGTTCTTCAAAAATTGACTTCTGCATTTCATAGACAAAATAATAGCATACAGATTTGGAAAACATAAGGGTGAGTAGATGTAAATTTTCACATTTGGGTGAACTATCCCTTTAAAGGGGTCATATGATGCGATTTCATGCATCATCACTGTGTCTGTCAAACGACTCTGTCCGCCTTTCGGGCTCTGTCTTTACATTTATTTTGAAAGATGAAGCTCGCGATTATGGTAAGGGGCGTTACATTTCCGACGAGTGCTTGCGGTGTTCGGCCAATCACAATGCACTGGGTCAGCTGGCCAATCAGAGCAGACTGCGCTTGTCGGAAGGAGGGACTTTGTAGAAAATGAAGCGTTTGAGAGAGGCGGGGCATATAGGACCTACAATAATGTACAGTATTTGAAAAATAATGTGTTTTTTGAACATTAAAGCATGTCAACATATTCTGTTACACCAAATACAGAAAATAATGATCTTTAAAAAAGCATCATATGACCCCTTTAAGAGTCACTGCCCAGAGCCCCCATAACAACACAATGGCACACAAGCAGAGCAAGTGGACAGACTGCTGGTCTGAATGGCTGTGGTCTCTGGCAGGCATTCTCCATCAGCAGTGACTGCGATCTGAAGGTGAACAGGGTCAGGGATGTACACGATGATTTGTTTAGCCAGAGCACTGTTGAGAACCATCTGCCCTGTAATTCAGGTGAGCATCTGCTGAGCTGCAGATGGCAGGAAAAGTGCAGGAGGGGAGGACGATGCTGCTCTCAAACAGGTCCAGTTTCTCCTGAGCCAGAACCAGAGGACCGGTGCTACTGCGCGGAGCCTGTTGTAACTGTCCTTTAAAGATATTCTTTGTGCCAAAGCTTGCCATGCACAGCATTTTATTAGCCTGTTTCTGGCAGAAGTCTTGGAAACTTACAAAGTTTCAAGTGAAAGAAAAATGCCTTGTGTAGAAGAAACTCTAAAACTAGGAACTCCATCTGCTTTAGTATTGGATTAACTGCAAAAATGTTCACCATTTGCTTTTGATTGTACTTTAAAGTTACTTAAATTGATTTTGGCCAATTAAATTGGTCAGTATTAGCAGAACTACTTTATTAAAAGATGCAGCAACAGCTGCTTTTCCATCTATATATCTATCTGATCCTAATGTCTTTCCATCCATACATCCTTCTTTCTTTCTTTCTTTGTCAATCTGCCTGTCTGTCTGTTCGTCTATCCATGCATCCATCCATCCATTCTTCCTTCTTTCTTTCTTGCTTTCTGTTAATACTTTTTTAAAGTAGTTTTTTTTAAACTCTTTGTACAAAACAAACAAGTATGTATTCACTAACTTTGCTTCTCTACTTAAAAATAACCTGAATTTTCTTGAAATCAACTCATTTTAATTCTACTTCCTTACATTCATATTCAAACTGCAATGCAATTCCGAATGGTGCTCAATCCTAAAATACAGATACATTATCTGATTTCTCAGACCTCATTTGGTGGTCCTAAACTGTTATTACAGATATGCACTGTCATTTATTTTTTTAATTATTATTATTATTATTTTAAGAAAGCTTTCTTCAGATGGAACATTTAGGAAAGTCAATACATTCACAAGGCGTCACAAAGCATCCTTTGCCTGATATCCACCTGTTGATGTACTAAGCGATGGATGTAGACATTTAGGACTCATGTTAATATGATTTGAGCAGCAATCCTGGTTCTGGCTGACCACTTGTGATGGGATCACTTGGGACAGAGGTTAATGCTGAGTGCAAACGGGGCCTTTGACTACATGTGCATGAGATGATAGGATGTCTAACACAGGGTGAGTTCAGTGACGTCTGGTGCTGCTCATGTTTTTTAATATCTGGGTTTTCCTTCACTTCTCTCTTTTAAGCAGGTCTTCATGCCTCAGCCGTCCTCCTGTTGCACGCCTGGCGCAGCTAATTATCTGAATAAACACCATCAGATCTCTCTCTCTGCTTCTCCTCCCTTCCCTCTGTAGACAGCACTCTGTAGGGCCGAATCTTCACAAGCAGCTCGACAGATTGAGCTGATTACAAGCCTCCTGCTGTAGTGACGCTCACTCTGTTTGATCCATGAGCCCAGATGAACTTCTCCATACATTAGCTTGCTTGCTACCCATTTGATTGTATAGTACAACTATCAGACCAGCAGACTTCTAAACCTCAAACTAAACCACACTGGAGTCCTGGACTGTTCATCAATGTGGCTGATGATGCTGTCAGACTATTTTTTAAAGCAGATTCAATCTATTAGATGTCTAATATTCACGGTTTTCTTTGTTTTGTTCAATTAAGGATTCAGGCATCACATGGTAAATCTGCTTTAAGATGAGGTCCTGTGTTCAGAGTATTATAAATAAACCTCACTTCAAATATACTGAAGATTCTAACAGCAATAAATACGTCTGGGAAAAAAATGGACAAAACAAAACTAAAAATGTTCATTTATTTGTAGTGCAATTATTAATATTAATACAATAGTAATATTGCAATAGTAATATCTCACTTTATTTTTATTTAGGAATTTTTATATTTTTATTTATTATTAATGATAGTAATAATAATAATCCTAAATAATAATAATAATTGTTATTATCATCATCATTATTATTATCATCACCATCACTTTTTATAGCCATATTGATGTGTAATCACAAAAACCCTACAAACAAGCACAGCAAACCTGGATTTCAAAAAAATCTAATTTAAATCCCAATTAATAATTAATTGGTGGGTTTTTGTTAAATGTGAGCCAAAATCATCACAATTAAAAGAACCAAAGACTTAAACTACTTCAGTCTGTGTGCATTGAATTTATTTAATACACGAGTTTCATAATTTGAGTTGAATTACTGAAATAAATGAACTTTTTCATGACATTCTAATTTATTGAGATGCACCTGTACATTAAAGTAGGGGCCGTATCTAGGGACCAGAATATCATAGAGCAACCATATAGGCAATGCATGTGAAAGCAAAACTCAAAATACATTAAAATATTTTACTTCCAAAAATGAATACAAAATTAAAGGTCATATTTTGTTCACATTTTGTTTTCCAGACCAGTGCACAGTAACAAGATCATACCTGTTCCTGCACAAATTTTGGTTCTTCAGCACCATCTACTATTTTGGCAACTGGGCTTTCCTTGTGGTAAAGTATTTTCCTATAATGTTCCTTTTTTAGATGATATACCTTGTTATATGTAATGAAGGAAATTGCATGGATGAACACATGAAAATGTAATAATAATTATCATTCTATAGCCCTAATAAGTATTTTGTTGTGTTGCAGGTCTTTCTTATTGGTTTGGTTGTTTCATGCTGTAAAGGGAAGAAATCTGTGATCGAAGGGGAAGTTGATGCAGACGATTCAGATGTCAGTGATGATGAATATGTGCGTTAACTTTGTACTAAAAGTCCTGTTTTTACTTGGTTTGATTACTAGTCAGAGCTGGAATGGAAAAAAAACTGTAAAATAGTTTTTCACACAACACATCTTTCGTTCATCATTCAGAGAAAGAAACATAGTTGTTCTATAAGATTCGACTGAATGTGTTATGATGCCAAATAGGTTCAGTGTCACTAGGCATTATCATGTCTAACTGATAGTAGGAGTCTGATATGCTAACCTGTCTTTACTACTGACCCTTACTTCTAATGAAGGGTGTGTATGCATGTCATTTTGCATTGCAGTATAAAATAAATCAACAAAAAAGTTTTTCTCTCTAAACATGACCAAATTTAGTTTGAAATAAGTTTAAAAGGTTCGAATATTTTTGTTAATACGAATAAAAAGTTTGAGATCCTTCTGCTGATTTATTTATTATTTCTTTTTTTGTTAAGCCATGCATATCTGTAATTTTTGTCTAGGCATAATGCTCCAGTGTTTCTGATGCGTGTTACTTTAATCTCTGAGGTTGAATTGCTATCATACTGCTTGTGGACATTAGTTGATTTATTTCACATAAGTTTTTATTTTGGAATTATTGGACTGAACTTGCACATTTCTAGAGATGATGATTAAAATTGTGGAAAAAATGTATTTATCATACAGTATTGGCCTGTTTCCTGAAATTAACATTTCTTTTGCAAGATGCTTCTGTTATAATGCAGTTTTGAGTCATTAATAAAGCCTACAACAGTATATCTGGTTTTAAAATGGATCCAGTTGCTTTTTTACATATTTAATTATATAAGATAATTCAGATGGTTAATTAATGTTAAATAGAAATATGTAGATTTACAGATCTGGAATCGTTTATTTTGCTAGGAAAAAAATGTATCTTAATTCCATGTACTATGTTAACCTTTTATATATAATGGCATTATTTTTGTAGAACTGTTTTGACAAACTGAATTGACCTAATGGTCATTCCAGAGGTTGTATGATATTGCTTAAATATATGTAGAATAAACCATATAATAAAATACGTTTTTCCCCCTCAACAGAATGAGACAAATAGCAGATCTGTCAAGCATTTCAGTTCGATGTGTAGAACTGGTTCAAAAGAATGATTCGATTCTGCAGTGAGCTTTTTAAATCTAGCCTTGCACCTTTACAATACTGTGGAAGCTTAAGCGACAAAAAGTGAAAAACATCAGCATTTATAGTATGCTATATAAAAGGCACACGAGCAGCTCACAATGATTCCAGATAATTAAGGAATGATTCTTTTGAGCCGGTTCTCCACATCCTACTGAACGGTTAAAGCATTCGAATGACTCTCAAATCAATGATAATTCGAATCTAAATAAGCTGCAAACTAATGATGTCTGCTGCTTTGCAAGAAGCCGCTCCAACCAGCTCGCAAATCAGAGTTAACAATACAGTAAAATCTCAAATCTGCCATTTTTCCACGAATTTGTTTATTGTTAGGTGCTGACGTTTTTATTAAAACGAATCATTCATAAGAATCTGATTCACAAGAGTCGAATTCTCACAATACCACACAGAATCGTTTATTTTCGATCCGGCTCAAACGAACCGAATGACTAAAATCAATTTTTTGAGAGTTCATTCGCTAGCTAAACTTTGGTTCTTCAACGACGCTAAACATCACCGAAGAAATGAAATAATCAAACCCCAAAATAATAATTTAAAGAGAGTTTAAACAACATCATTCACCTCCACTGAAGACCCCTAAAATGCCATACTTCAGGTCAGAAATACGTAATTATTCCAGTATTCATTCTGCCTAAATTTAGCATTCAGCCTTCTTAGCATTGTTTGCTCAAAGTTTCGACGTAATAATGATCGTTCGTTGAGCTGATGTAGAAAAGAGATATAAAGCAGAGTTTTTTGTGTTGAATCTTACGTTGTTTACTCATTGAATTGGATTTAATTCATCTCTGTTCTGTGATAAGATTGTTTGTCTTCATTTAGAGCTGAAATGGATGCAAATGCAAACAACTGTGTAAAAGTGTTTGTAGATCAGCTGTGTTTACCCTCACTGACATTCTTACAGTTAAGGCTTTATCGTGCAAACTGAAGAGCAAAGCAGACGGTGTTGTTCAGAGTGGACAGTGCTCATACTGAGAACTGCTTGAGTTTGCGATTGGGACTGTGTTTGTGTGCTTATCATGTTCTCACCTGGACCAGATGTTCATATGATTCATGGCCCACGAAGACACACCAGCCAGACTCTCCTAACAGATGGTGCAGTCTTTGGAAAGAAAACAACAACTAATTTTCTTGAGCATGCTTATGTAATCGACCAAAAAAGAGGGGTTGGTGACAGCGCAGTTTGCAGCTAACTGGCAGTGCAATATTAGAAATGTATTTTTGTTCATACATACATACATACATACATACATACATACATACATACATATATATATATATATATATATATATATATATATATATATATATATATATATATATATATATATATATATATATATATATATATATATATATATATATATATATATATATATATATATATATATATATATATATATATATATATATATATATATATATATATATATATATATATATATATATATATATATATATATATATATATATATATATATATATATATATATATATATATATATATATATATATATATATATATATATATATATATATATATATATATATATATATATATATATATATATATATATATATATATATATATATATATATATATATATATATATATATATATATATATATATATATATATATATATATATATATATATATATATATATATATATATATATATATATATATATATATATATATATATATATATATATATATATATATATATATATATATATATATATATATATATATATATATATATATATATATATATATATATATATATATATATATATATATATATATATATATATATATATATATATATATATATATATATATATATATATATATATATATATATATATATATATATATATATATATATATATATATATATATATATATATATATATATATATATATATATATATATATATATATATATATATATATATATATATATATATATATATATATATATATATATATATATATATATATATATATATATATATATATATATATATATATATATATATATATATATATATATATATATATATATATATATATATATATATATATATATATATATATATATATATATATATATATATATATATATATATATATATATATATATATATATATATATATATATATATATATATATATATATATATATATATATATATATATATATATATATATATATATATATATATATATATATATATATATATATATATATATATATATATATATATATATATATATATATATATATATATATATATATATATATATATATATATATATATATATATATATATATATATATATATATATATATATATATATATATATATATATATATATATATATATATATATATATATATATATATATATATATATATATATATATATATATATATATATATATATATATATATATATATATATATATATATATATATATATATATATATATATATATATATATATATATATATATATATATATATATATATATATATATATATATATATATATATATATATATATATATATATATATATATATATATATATATATATATATATATATATATATATATATATATATATATATATATATATATATATATATATATATATATATATATATATATATATATATATATATATATATATATATATATATATATATATATATATATATATATATATATATATATATATATATATATATATATATATATATATATATATATATATATATATATATATATATATATATATATATATATATATATATATATATATATATATATATATATATATATATATATATATATATATATATATATATATATATATATATATATATATATATATATATATATATATATATATATATATATATATATATATATATATATATATATATATATATATATATATATATATATATATATATATATATATATATATATATATATATATATATATATATATATATATATATATATATATATATATATATATATATATATATATATATATATATATATATATATATATATATATATATATATATATATATGCAAGATGTTAATTATAAATTATAATAATAATACAAAATAAGATGGATCATAAAAAATTGCATGTTTTTTTTTTTTATTTAGTACTTTTTATGAGTAGTTTATGGCCAGTTTGTTAGTTATAATTTTAAGATAGTTAACATTGCTTAATTGCCTTTTAAACAATTCTCTACAGGTTATATTGATCAGCAAAATTTATCAGTTGCCAGCACTCATTTAACTGATAAGTTGTCAACTTTATTTATAATACAATATTAGAGGGAGAGAGAGGAGGCGATTTTAAGATCATGAGAAATATCTGTTTTTTAAATCTTGAAATTATCTTTTTCCGTTATAAAAGAATGATGTTAAAGCCACATTCGCTTTCAAACACACAGTGAACTTTAAAAATGCAGGAAGCGATAAGACAGGCATCTTTTCTTATCCATTCTCTTCATTCATCTTTAAATGGAATATATACTCTTCTTCCCAAAGGCAGAAAAAAGGCTCTTTCTCATGCACCGGGGTGTTTTAGACCCAAGATATAAGGCAGTCTTCTGGGTCAAGGGGATTTTCCAAACAATACTTTAAAAGCAGTTCTGCAGCCTCTGACTGATTTACTGTTGAAAGTGACTCACAGCGAGTGTGCTGTTAGATTGAAGGTGAAGTTCACAATCACACACTCCCACTGGAGTGCCTGTTTGCCTTGCGTTCATACAAAGTGGCTGCATAAAGCAATATTGATTTGATGAGATTGAATTACATTATTAAAAATGAAACTCATTAATTTTGTTCATCTGGAGACATCACACGTTTTTTGTGATCTTGCACTTTGCATATAAATACAGTCAAGATAACTTAAAAGAATGCTGTGCTTTAAATCTTCCTATTGAGTTATATACATATCTAAATACAGGGTTCTTTAAATGTCTGCCAAAATTGTACACCCATCATTTTGTGTCAATAACAGATGGGGCAGTTAGGAGGATTTCCTTTGCCACTGAAAGAGCATTAGGTGATGGTTCCTTTGACAGACATCAGAAGGCATCACTGTCAGCGGCTCTGAGGAGAGTCATCCTGCTGAACATCGCTGATGCAATAAAACACTCCGAAGCCACGAGACAGATTGAAATGTACATAACACTGAAAGACAGACTTTTACCATTTCCTTCTGGCTTTTCATTTTAATCTTAATATTTTATAGGTCGACAGTTGTTCAATTTGCCATGTACATTTTGGTTTTGTTTTTTTCGTTCTTTATACAATAGTTTTCAATGATGAATCTTCATGGTTTGGAAATATTATTTGTACGGCTAGTTTTTAGTTTATTTTTAGTATTCTTGTAAATAGTAAGCATTCTGGTAATTATATTAGGACTGTATATGTAATGTACTATAACTTTAATCATTCATAAATAATACTACTTTAATATACTTTAAAATTAACAAATTATAATTATTAATTAAAAATAACAGAATATAAGGATTCTATTGTAAGGA